TATTTTTATAGATAATTTTGTCTTTAGTGTTTTTTCTGCGCATATTTTATTCTGCTATTTTCCTGCTAATTTAAACATTTAATGCTTTTTTTAGCTGCTAATTCTTGCYGTTTCCTGTTTTAGCTACTTTTAATTCACCTTTTTTTATGATGATTCCAGATTCTTACTCTTTAATTCAATAAATGTGCACTTTGTTTCTTTTTGCCAATTTAAGCTATTCCCGGTACCTTTTTTTTTTTAGCTATCTTGTGCTAGTTCCAGCTTTTATTTTTAGCCATTTCAAAACAAACTGAAAGTGTTTCTTTTCTTTTATTGCCAATTTGAAAAAGTCACTCATTTTATTGTCTCTCATTTTTAACTTGTTTCATCTTCTTTTTGCTAATTTTAGCTACTTTTTTGCTCTTAATTTTTTCACCCTTTTTTGCCCTCTTTTTCACTATTGTCCTACTTTCAGCAAAAATCAGCTGTTCCAGTTTAACTCGCATCAACAGTTTTGCTATTAAACCTTTTAGCTTTCAGGTAAAATCTTTCAGCATTAAGCATTCACTCTGCAATTTTGGAGGAAATACAATTTCTCTAGTTAAAATCTGAAAATTTAGAGTAAACACTTGTATTTCTGTAACTATAATGAAATAAATAAAAACAATAAATAATTTTTTTAAAGGCAAAAATAAAAGGTTTTGGTTTGACGGCTTCAGTAAGAGTTGTTTTTTTATTGGTGTCTGTAATTTAAAACGTTTAAAACACATTTGCCTCCACTCATAAAGGACTAAAGAAATATGGAGGTCACGTATCGACAGGGGTTAAATGTCGCGATGACATAACCTCTCCTACAGCAAAGCATTTTGTTTGATTTTTTCATTTCATCTTTGATTCCAGAGAGCGAGCGGGAAACCTCGGAGCCGCTCACCTTCACTCAGGGCCTGTGGATCGTCGTGAGTCACAGACCGTACATCAAACTGGTCGTGGGTTTTCTCTTCACATCTCTGGGCTTCATGGTAACGACTCTGAATATTGGCCTGTCCTCATTTCAACCCTTGGACAGCCGTGTCTGAGTTGTGGCTTTGAACCTTTGCAGTTACTGGAGGGGAACTTCGCTCTCTTCATCACCTACGCTCTGGGCCACAGGGAGGACTACCAGAACATTCTGCTGGTCATCATGGTGAGCGTTCCTGTTTTCCCCGCATCTTGTTGCAGCTCTTATCAGGACTTAGAGGACGTCGGTTTGTTTTCTGAGCCTCTTCCTCCATTCGAGGACACCTGTGCCTCCGAGGCTGAAAGGTTGGTTCAGGGGCAGAGCAGCTGATGTTTACGCTGCTGGGAACCTCCCACACGTTGACTGAGCTTTAACAGAAAGTCACTGTGCAGCTTCTGTTGTCCTGCTTCTGCTCTGATGCTTTTCCTTTTACTGTGAGGAGAAACGTGTTACTTATTCTTTCCTCTACAAAACAATATTCAGTATTTTTAAGATGATTTGGGGCTTTTTTATGACTTCCTCTGATTTGTTTAAAGTGCCTCTGATGTCAAATTTAGTAATACATATGAATGCATTTTTAGAAAGAGGACATTGATAAAATATTGCAAAATAAATGTCATGTCGCTGAGATGAACAGTTGTTGAGATATTTGCGTGTGAAGAAACAGGAAGTGATGTCAAAGGGGAATGTGCACGTGAGCAGAGCATTGCTACAAAAGCCAACAACCCAGACTGTAGAGAAGAATCTGATGTTTTTTAACATTATTTTGAGTCTATCCGAGAGACGATGAGTCAGAGTTCAAATAATATTGTTTCAATAAACAAAGACCAGAGTTTTCTTTGTTAAAGAGTTCCCCTCTGATGTCACTTCCTGTTTCACCTTAGCTGAGTGAAGTTCAAAAGAAAATATGCCAGTTATGGGACAAAATGGGTTAAATCAGACCTGGGCATTCGTATGTTCGCGGGCCACATCCGGCCCGTTTCATGTTCATGTCCGGCCCGTCTGTGTGAAGTCAGTTGTAAATTAAAATATAAATGAAAAATGATTTTCGCTGCATGCAACGCAACTGAGATGCTCTTATTTTGAAAAACTTGCAGTTTTTTTTTTAAATTTACGTTTGAACGTATGTACGTAACCAATGATCAATGTACGTAACCTGCTACAACTGTCTGATGCTGAGCAGTGACCACCTAGCCATCAAAATGTCGGGTCCCTCCAGAAAAAGAAAAGTTGATATCGAATGTCGTGTTTTCAACAAGACATGGACTGCCAACTATTTTTTTACAGAAGTCAAAGGTAAAGCTGTGTGCTTAGTTTGTGGTAAACATGTTGCCGTTTTTAAGGATTACAATTTAAATCGCCACTACGTTAGCAACCACGAGGAAAAGTACAAGAACTTATCGGATGAAGAGCGCAAAAGGGAGTCGGATGCTTTGCTAGCGAAGCTGGAAAAACAACAAGGACTTTTTACTAAGATTTATACAGCCAGAGAAGCAGCTGTCAAGACAAGTTATGTCATATCCCACAAAATTGCTAAAAAAAGCAAACCGTTTTGTGATGGAGAGTATATTAAGGAGTGTTTGTTAGACTCTGCAACACTAATGTGTCCGGAGAAAAAAGACGCATTTGAGAGCGTGCCGCTCTCCCGGCGCACTGTAACGAGGAGGGTGGAGGACATCGCGGGAAATCTGGAGCTTCAGCTAAAGGACAGACTGATCAACTTTGACTATTTTTCTCTTGCTTTGGATGAAAGCTGTGATGTTCGTGACACGGCCCAGCTACTTATCTTCTTACGTGGGATAACTACAGACTTTAAAATCACGGAGGAGCTGGCCGCCATGAGATCAATGAAAGGAACAACAACCGGGAGTGATTTGTTCATGGAGGTAAATGCATGTTTTGATATGTTGGGACTGAAATGGGACAAACTGGCAGGTGTAACAACAGATGGTTGTCCAAATCTGACAGGGAAAAATGTTGGACTTTTGAAGAGAATGCAGGATAGGGTGACAGAAATCAACCCTGAACAGAAATTGACRTTTTTGCATTGTATTATACATCAGGAAGTGTTGTGTAAGTCAGTGTTAAAATTAAACCATGTTGTTGATGTTGTAACTAAGATGGTTAACTTCATCAGGGCACGAGCATTGAATCACAGACAGTTTGTTGCACTTTTGGAGGAAAATACGACTGAACATTGTGATGTAAGCTACCACACAGCTGTCAGGTGGCTCAGCCTGGGCAAAGTGCTGAAAAATGTTTGGGACCTGAGAAAGGAGATTCACGAGTTCTGTGTGATGAAAGGAAATCACATCTCACAGCTTTCAGATGCAAAATGGATGGCARACCTCGCTTTTGCTGTAGATGTGACGGCACTAATGAATGAACTAAATGTCAAACTGCAATGCAAGGGGGGGTTTGTTCATGAAATGTACAGTGCTGTGAAGGCTTTCATGAGAAAGTTGCAGCTTCTCTCAAGCCAGATTAAGGACAAGATTCTCACCCACTTGCCAACACTGAAGGAAGCTGCACCACCAGCTGATCACCTCCACAGGTACTCATCCATGCTGGAGGCACTGCATGAAGAGTTTTCAAGGCGATTTCAAGACTTTAAAACAGTTGAGAGTGAAATGCAGATGATTTCTTCTCCCTTCACCTGCAGTGTGGATAATGCACCAAGTGATGTGCAGATGGAACTCATTGACCTGCAGTCTGACACACTTCTGGCAGAGCGCTTTAGGTCAGGCTCACTGCTTGAGTTTTACTCTTCCCTCAAAGAGGAAMACTTTTCAAACATGAAGAGGCATGCTAAGAAGATCCTAGTCCTBTTTGGATCTACCTACATATGTGAACAGACATTCTCAGTGATGAAGTTCAACAAATCCAGATACAGATCCTCTGTCACTGACGATCATCTCTCTGCTGTTCTTCGCATCGCCACCTCAGACATTCAACCAGATTTTGAYGCACTTGTTAAAGCCCAAGACAGACTTGATTTTTCTCACTGAAAAAGTAAAATGAACTGGCACTTATTGCTTTTGTATAAAGTTGATAGCATGTTGCAAAACAGTTTTCATATTTGTTTGTGAAGATTGACATGTTAAAAATAAAATGAAATAAGGTTAGGATTGTTTTTGTTGTTAATGTTTATATATTAGTACATCAAAATTTCATATATTTACAACATATCCTTGTTCGAATTACCAATAGCACCTAATCAAAATATATATAATTTACTGCTCTTTACAATGGGTGGGGAGGAAAAGAATATTACGAACAATTAAGTACAAGTTATTGTTGGTTTCGGCCCTCCAACATAGCTCAAGTTTCTCAAGTGGCCCTCGGCAAAAAATAATTGCCCACCCCTGGGTTAAATCGTGTGAATTATTTCAACTTTCTTAAAGATGTTTTCTTTGACTTTTTGTATTTGAAGAATATGCATGTCACAGGCACTTTAAGCTTTCCACAGTGTGCAAATTAAAACAAGTGGATTTATTTTAGGTGAATCGTTTCATGCTGTTTAGTTTAAGTAATTCTAARTAAAGTTATTTTTCTTATTTAGGTAACTTATTTTGCCCAGCTGGAAAATGAGATGCTTGTAAATTATGGTTGCTGATCACACGACTCGGTTCAAAACTTCTTTCAACAGCAGAACTTCAGCTTAAATTTGATCCAAAAGAGACATTTTCTTAAATCAGTCAAACCAGGACTGTTCCTTACTGACCTTTACAAGGTATTAAATTTTCTAAAACTCAAAAGTTTGAATACTCGGATTGAGTTTTGCTCKTATCAGAAAAGGTATTTTCTCGTGAAGTTACATAACTCAGCCTGTTTGGAGCAACAAATATTCAGAATTAAGAGTTTACACAAATGTTTTTTTCTTAGCTTTGCTTTGAAACAATCTGTTTAATGTCCTCCTTATTGTGTGACTTTAGTTCATTAATTCATTGTTTTGTTTGAACTCCACCAGCTGTCTGGGACTCTGACCATCCCGTGGTGGCAGTGGTTTCTGACCCAGTTTGGAAAGAAGATGGCGACTTACTGGGGCACCTTGGTCAGTACGAGTTTCTCATTTTGTTGCATCAACGTTGTCTGTRAAACATCAGAATGCGATGCTCAGTCAAAGCTGCAGGAGTTATGTGAGGTTTGTTTCTGCTCCTGCAGTGGGCAGTGCCCTTCATGATCATTATCGTCTCCGTCGAGAGCAACCTGGTCCTTTCCTACCTGGTGGCGGTGGCGGCGGGCGTGAGCGTGGCAGCAGCCTTCCTCCTGCCTTGGTGAGCACAAGTTTTACKCAGGTTTTTAGGCTAAAATCTGGTTTTCTGTCTTTTCGAGCTTTCTTCTGATTGGTTGTTTCAGGTCGATGCTCCCCGACGCCGTGGACGACTTCAAGGTTAACAATCCGAACGTCTGCGGACACGAAGCTCTCTTCTACTCGTTCTACGTGTTCTTCATCAAGTTCGCCTCTGGACTGTCCCTGGGGATTTCCACTCTCAGCTTAAAGTAGGTCTAATCAGTATTTCTTGTGGGGTTTATTTTCCTCTCGTACCTTTTATAATCTCTAATCCTGAGATTACCTCCTATTACCACGGATCATGTGGTCAGCTATCACATCAGCTCAATTTATTCTGCATGTTTTTTTGCAGATTTGCTGGGTACGTGACTGGTGAATGCTCCCAACCTGAGGCGGTCAGTTTGACCCTGAAGGTGCTGGTCTCCCCTGTTCCCATAGTCCTGATCATTGTGGGGCTCCTGATTCTAAGGACCTACCCCATCGATGAGGAGAGGAGGAAGGACAACCGCAAACTGCTCCAGGAGTTACTGTAAGCCAGGAGGAAAATCACTCATTTGGCGCATGAAAAAGTATCATTTGTCTGACTTTTTGTTTTTGTTTACTTGAACAGAGATTCTGAGTCTGAAACATCAGATCTTGGGAGCAGCGTATAACAGACACTTTGCACGTTTTTTTTCTTGACCAGCAACGGGCCAACACAGCTTCCTCATCAGCATRAACATGCCTATAGAGAGCCACTAGAGGGTTATGGCGCCCTCTAGTGGCAAGTCTGTGCATCAAGTATTTTTTTGTTGCCTTTACCACCAKTTGTGTCCTAAAGGCCCTGTCGCACCGTAACGTTTTAGACAAGTCGGCTTCTGACGGGTATATATTTGATCCAGTTGTAAGCATTATAATACGCCTAGGTCCAAAAGAGGCTTCCAATAGATTTATTTTAAATTCCATCATCAGCTTAGACATCTTTGGTGTTGGACAAACTTTTCATAAATTGGCATAAGTGGTCTAAAATGTTATATTGTGACAGGGCCTTAAATAGATGAATATTGTTTAGAATTTTGTAAAGACTTGACTGCAAAACCATTTTTTCACTTTGTAAAACAAATCTATCATTGTTTCAGTGAAACGTGGCAAAAATTGTCCATATCTCCACCTCACCTTTTTTTTTTTGCCAAAGATTTTCTTGTTTACGGAGATGTTACGGAAGGTTTCAGCTTTTGGTTTTTGGTAGAAATATCCTCCTTAGATCCAAAGCTTGGTTACAAACTCGAATTTTGTCTCGTCGTGTCTATTAAAGTATTTATTTTCTGGTTTACGCCACTCGAGCACCCAAGGAGCGTGATGTTACCTTTGGTGTTTCCAATGAGAGATTCACTCTGAGGATATCAGCTTTTACTTACAGGACACATAAAACACTCGTACTGACTATGGAGCTTTGTCAACAATGTCTACCTTCATTTTTACTGAACATTTAATGAAGGCGTAAACTTGAGTACTTGAATTTTCTGAAGGTTGTTTTTGTAGAATAAGTACTGAACTATTTAAATCACTGCCTTACAAAAATGTATTTATTATTGCCAAAAGATTTTTTTTCTGTTGAACTTGAACTCCAAATACTTTTTGTTGTTTTTGAGAATTATTTCCTTTCTCCACTTTTTCAGCTTTAATGTTTGTTGATTTCTGTGAAGTAAAAAAAAAAAAAAAAACTAAATGTGCTTTTATGCAGTCAGTTCATGCAGCCCATTGTCACTTCCAAAGAGGGGAAACTATTTAACTATTTATTTAAACATGCAGTCCAAGGGATTACAATTCAAAAACTTACATAATTTATTGAACAATGTTTAATAACAGTACCAGCCAGTAGTTCCCACTCATATTCTGAAAAGATTTTACGATCTGTGTTTTTTGTCTTGTAGTTTTCCTTTTGAAGGGGTTTGAAGTTGAACTGTTTAAACTCTCCACTGCATCTCTGTGGTTCTCAATGCTGCTGTTTGTATAAACTGTAAATACTTTTTCAAAAGGTTGATGTTAAATATGTAAATCTGTGCGCAGATAAAATAAAAATGATTTGTAAAAATTGTCATTTATGTCAAGAAATAAACTTTGTTGAAATAATAGGTTTTTTAAATGAATTACGGTTAAAGGTATTTATTTTTCTGTTATTCAGGGATCATAATACCATGTTTGATTAAAAATGTCTAAACAGGAAGTCCAGGGTAAAAGGGAAATGTTTGCAGACTTAATTACTGATTAACTTTCATTTGGAAATTTAAAAGTATGTATGTTTAAAATGCATCAAAAACATCCAGTTAAAATTAAACTATAGAACAGCATGAACATCAAACTGCTTGTGTGATAAGAAGCATGAAAGCTAAAAGATGCTACATGCTAACTAAGAGACAAATATCAGTATACTGGTCGCAAACTAAAAGAAGCAAAACGGTAATTGAAAGCTAAAGGTTAAAAGCAAGGTTAGKTCAAAATAAAAACCTAAAGTAGAAGCTAAATGTAGCAAAAGGCTAGCTAAAAAGAGCAAAATTGTAGCAAGTTGAAGCTAGCAATGGTTTGCTAAAACTAAAAATGGTAAGAAGCTAGCTAGACGCAAAACAATGCTGAAAGGCTTGCTAAATGTAGCAAAAAGCTAAACAAATATGTTGTGTGTTGTCATCAATGTGATAAGAAAAACAAAAGGCTAAGAGATGCTATGCTAACAAAAAATAAATAATGGCAAAATCCTAGGAACATATTAAATGTAGGGAAAAGCGAGCTAAAAGCCAGGATTACCATTGTAGCTAGAAGTGGTGAATGGCTTTAAAAAGCTAGACGCTAAATGGAAAAGGGCTAACTAACTGGAAGTAGCAAAAAGCTAAGCAGCTATAAAACATTTAGTGATATTTTTAAGCTAAAAATATGCTTGGTGTGGGAACGTCTCATAAAAAACACAAAAAGCTAAGATGCTACTTGTTAAATACTCATTAAACAAGAAGGCTAGCTAAAAAAAAGAGCAAAAATGTAGCTAGCTAAACTAGGGTTGGCAAGATGCTAGCTAGAAGCCAAAATGGCTAAAAAGGCTAGCTAAACGAATTTGGATATATGCAGCAAACTCAAAAGAGGCAAAAAGCTGACAAAATAAGCTTTGCTAAAAGCAAAAAAGTTGGCTAAATGTTTCAACGAGCTAGTTAAAAACTGAAAACTAAGAGGCTAATGAAAACAAATAAGGAAATGCTAACTAAAATTAGCAAAAGAATAAACTAATAGCAGAAAAATGCTAAACTAAACTAAACACAATAATGTGAATGAAGAATCAGCATTTAGATAAACATTATCATTAAGTCACTTTGGTAAATTGGGTGTTCATTTTAATGTTTTATTTATTTATTTTTTTATTTATTTATTGAATTGTCAAATCAGTCTAATCTTCAGGTTATCCGGTAATCCAGGTGTGATCCGTTAATTACCTGCAGCTGTGCCGTGACGCGTTTTTTACGCGCGGACTGAAAAGTACACGAGCTCGTCAGTCTTTCTCCTGCGATGAAAACAAAGTGGTATTTATTATTTTTGTTCATATTTATTATTTTCATTGGCTCACTCGTCTCTGCGGCCGAAACGCCCAGAAAACGGAGGAAGGGGTTTAACCAGAAACACAAACGTCTCAAAYCGTCCGCCAAAGAGGTCCGGAAGTCCCGGAAAAGGTTCTCCGGCGGTTCCCCTCAGATCACCAGGTCCACCTCTCCGGCGACTCCGTCTCTGGGTCCAGGGAAGACCGGGGAGGAGGCGAGGATCCAGGCGGACTTCGCTTCCCTCCCGGACGTCTCGGTCACCTGCTCCACGACGGACTTCGTGGTGCGGGTCAGACCGGGTTTCTACGGTCTGGGCGCGGACGCGCAGGAGCTGACCCTGGGCCGCAGCTGCAGAAGCAACGGAGTTGTCCGTCCGCAGGGGGACCTGCTCTTCACCTATCCCCTAACGGAGTGCGATGGAGTGCGCGAGGTAAGACCATGGCACGTGAGTCCTTTTTTTWAAAAATCTTGACAGCGCGCGTCCTAATGTCCTGCTTTACGCACAGCTTCTTCCAGGTTACCTGGTCTATAAGCACGTGCTGCACTACCAACCTTCTCCGAAACGGTTCCCGAGCAGAGCGCATCAGATCAGTGTCAACATAGAGTGTCATTATCTGAGGTTGAACTTATTTTTTGTTGAGTAAATCCATTAAATTTGCGTCAAAACCTTGTAACGTCCATGTTTGTGTGCCTGCAGGGATCACTCTGTGCACCAGCTGGCGGTGCAGCCCACGTGGCAAACTGTTATTTTGCGTAAAAAGCTCAAGAGCCGTGCCATGGACTTCCTAATTAAATTAATGGATGGTAAAAAAATAAAAATAAAATGCAACTTTTTTTTAGATAGATTATGAATTGATACATATTTTTGGATTCACAGATTCATGGAAGGCGCACACCGAGCCTCAGGTGTACCAGCTTGGGCAAACCGTGAACATCCAAGTCTCTGCTCTTCACCTGCCTCCTGGATTAAAGCTCTACATCAACAGCTGCTACGCAACATCATCCAGCAAGTCCTCCCTCAAATACAGCATAATAGACAACTTTGGGTAAACGCATCGCAGAAAATGAAAAGGTTTGATGTCTTGGTTGTGCTCTCGTGTCCACATTGTCCTTTGTTTGTTTCCACAGCTGTATGGTGGACAGCAAGCACGACCCCGGAGTGTCACAGTTCGTCTCTCGGACAGACGACGCCTTAAAATTCTCCGTAAGGGCCTTCCAGTTCACGGCTGACCCCGAGGCCGAGGTGAGGGTTTAACTTAACGAGTTTGTGGTTTTATAAAACAAAGCGAGCCTCAAAACACGTGTTCTGTATTAGGTTAGCATCCACTGCAAGGTTTCAGTCACACCAGAGGGTCCAGGCCCGGTGCATAAATCCTGCACCTACCAAGATCGCAGGTGAGCGTGGATCCGGTTTCTCTTTATTATTAATCCAACGTTTCCTGTTCCACTGGCACATAACTGGTTGCACAATTTTTGTGCCATTTCAAGAATTCGTACATCAAAACATTCAGCTCTTCAGGACACTCCTGCTCTGACTTTTAGTATTTCAGCAACTTTTTTTTTTTTTTCCCACCTTCTACTCATTGAAAATCCTTTTAACCTCTCGAGCCCCAAAACAGCTTTTTCCGTTTTTCTATTTCTTTTAACTTAAGATCTGTCAGTCGAACCTGGATATGTTTGGTATCAATAGAAACCTAAGAGTCTTTGCTAAAAGCTCATGGAAACAATTTTTACATTCACCAAACACAGTTCAAACGTCAAGCAGCCTCAGAAAGTAAACAAACTGTACAAAATGGCATCATTGCAAATCTGTAAATACATTCAACCAAAATCTAAAGGAAAAAAAATTGACATTTTTTTAAAGCAAGTCAAAGTAGATACTTAAATATGTTGTAAAGTGCCTTGATTTTGAGTGAATGTGATCCAAGTGAAGTCAAATATAATTTCTCATTGTTTTAAATAATATATATAATATTATATATGGTGATAAATAAATGTTTGGATAAATTTTCAAAAAGAACAAACATTAAATATGTTGTTTAAGGCAGGTAAGAGAAAATAAATAACTTTTGGACGTAAAAAACTTAATATTTCTTAACATGTATTAATGGTACCATCATGGTCTCTCTGTGCAGGATGATAAAAATGCAAAATTATTTCTTTACTAAAACCGTTGTAACTTTGCTCTAGTTAATTTTAGCAGCATGTATCTTTGCACAGGTAATGTCCACAAGTGGATTTATGGTTTCCAAGAGTTTTTAGCCTGACTCATTATGGTTTGAAATGGGTTATGTACTGTCTAATGCAATAATTATTCAGGTGAGAGTGGAAAAAAACCCATTATGTTCCATCCCCAGTATCTCTAAAACAGCAGCTGTTTTAATACTTTATGAACTCTACCAAGTGTTAGCTTTATTTTGATACCAAAGTTATTTAAGTAGAGTTTGTAAATGCTGAGATAAACTCAATTACATTTCAGCATGGTATTTTGAGAAAAACTTTTAAGAAAACCGCTTGGGGCTTAAGAGGTTAAAACCTTTCAGTGTTTATAAATCTTTCCGTTTTGCTCTGGTTCTATATTTTGTTTATAACTTTGTGCTAATTTTAGCTTCCTTCAGCTTCTATTTAGCTTTTTCCTGTTTTTTCAGCTATTCTGTGAATTAAAAATTGTGCTGCTATGTTTCATTCTGCTAATTGAAACTTTTTGTTTCTTTCAGCTGTTTCCTGCAGTTTAAGCTACTTTTTAGCTATTTTCAGCCAAATTCACCATGTGATAATTTTAGCTACTTCATTCCGTTTAATTCTGCTTGTTTGTGCTTTCTGCTACTTTTAAGCTATCTTACAACAACGCAAAAGTTTTGCACTTCTATTTATTTTCTTCTGCAAAAATCTTTAAACATTAAGCATTTATGGTGCATTTTCACAGAAAATTATAATTCTCTAGTTATTAAATGTCTTTAAGGGACACTTCTGATTATTAGGTGGATGGCTCTTACCGGCCGCAACTCCATATGCGAGTGCTGCGACTCAACTTGTACGAGCTCCAGACCCCAGAGGGCCCTGATAGAAGGTCTGTCTGATTTTTGACCTTTTTTATTTTTTATTTATAAAGTTAGAGGAACACACTTTTGAAAGAAGAATCAAACTCAACTCAAACCAACCTCTAAAATAAGTTTTGACGTTTATATCTTTAAAGGTTTTGCCAGCAGCGGGCCGTTGCTGGTCTCGGATCAGCCGTACGCAGCAGAGCACGACCTCCGACCAGTCAGTCCCTCTGCTGTCAGCAGTGGAGAAGATGAGAACTTCAGTTCTCACACAGACGTGAACAATCATAAGCTAGCAAGTTCAGATGTAGAAAACCCCAATAAAAAGGAGGAACAGTTTACAGAAGGTAGAGACGTCTTTGGAGAAATGAGAGGATCTGATTCAGACGAAGAGAAGACCCTAAAAGAATCTGAAGAGAATTTAAAAGTTTGGAAAACTGGATCAGGAAATGAGGAACAGGGTTTTTCAGAACCAGAAACAGAGGATGAATCTGAGGGAAGTGAGGATGAGGCCACTGAGGACCAGAGGAGAGATGATTCACTTCAGCTGGAGCATATTGGACCATCTGAAGATGGCCTACAGGCAGAACTAGAACCGTCAGGACCACCTGCCTCAGAGGGAGGGAGAAAAGAGACTCAAGGGTTTAAAGATGACGAGGACAGGATGTTTTCAACGATGGAAACAAAAAATGTCAGCAGTCTGATGGATGAAGAGAAAACGTGGTATTTTACATGGTTGTAGTGAAATTAAGTTTCTTATTTCTCAACAATAAATGTATTAAATGCAGAAAAGTTCTGTTTACTGAAGTTTAAACTTTTCCTGAGTTTGCCTTTGTAATTCTATATATGAAGAGAATATTTTAGTTGATGTATTAGGATTTATTTGTATTACAAGTTGTCTCAGGTTCAAACAATGAATGGAAACACCTTTATGCCAAAATAAAAAAAAATTTGGGAAGGTTTCATTTGTTCATTTCTTATAGCTCTATGGATTTATCTGAACTTTGCTTCATTTTGACAGTCATGTTTCTGCTCATGGTGCTTTTATTGTGGAAAGTTTGCCTAGTTATGGTTTCATTTTAATTTTGTGTTTTCATCGCAGCAAGGTTTTACATTCCCAGCTCTTGGATGGACCTTTCAACAACAAACAAAACTTAATCTGTCCATAAATCTTTATTTTCCTTTAAATGATTATTTTCTCTATTACAGTCTCAAACATTTAATATTAATCATACAACAAAGTGAGTATACCTCGACTATGGGTAAATAAAAGCAGCAGAAAACGTGCTTCATTTTAGCTAATTGTATTTTTTTTTTTTTGTGGGAAATTGTGATGTAGTTGAATTTATACACAAAACCTTAATTCATACAATATTGGATTTTATCTGTTACAAAAAGGACATGTTTTGTGTGGAAACACTCCTGAAACAGGAACAAAATAACTTATTTTTTCTTTAAACAAATATAATTGGTGTGGAAATTTTTAATTTACAGAACTCTAGAACAGATTTATACCTATAAGGTATTAAATATACAAAATATGGTTTTATGTACAGAAGAATCACCATAACTCCCCGTGTAACAAAAGTCTAAAGCATTGATTCAGCAGGACAGGGTTAGTGTTTGACACTAGAGGGCAGAACATCACCATCTCACAACTTTAAGGTCGGGAAGAAACAAAACAGTATTTAATTTCTAAAATGCAAAGTGAGTAATGGAGTTAATTAGGACCCACACCTTAAAAATCAAGGACCACTCCAGAGCAAAGAATGTTCTGAAATCAGAATTTCATCAATCCAAATCCAGCTTCTTGCTTTAAAAGAAATTATATTCCTTCGGCGGTCTCCTTCAGACGTTAGGATCATGCTGCTGATGTCTCCTCTCGAACAGTGCCTGCTGTCCCGTTCATTTCCTCTGAAACCTCTGTGAATATATAAATATGGACAATTAAAACAGCCGTGCGCAAAATGTCTGATCAATGAACCAGTTGATTATAATTTTAGTTTTTGGAGCAACATGTTTATGGGGTGCCAAGCGTAAAATAAAATGTCACCAACACATTTTCTTTATTTAGCTCACTTTGAGTGTAAAACCCTGGTTTGAAAAAACTTTATTATTTAGCTTGCTGTTTTTAAATTATGCTAATTTTTACTAAATATTAAATTGAAATGTTAAATAACAATAAATCCTAAATGAAAATGTTGTGGCTACATGTTAAAGTTTACATTTAGGTATTTCAGAATGGAACACAGCCTTTTCTGTTAGTGTGCAGCTTTGATCATGACACCATCATCCTGCTACAAAAGCGCTAAAGCTAATACTTCCCCACAAGACATCAAGCTTGTMGTACCGAGCTGCACTTTACGCTGCAGGAAGACGAGTACCATCCATATTATTTTCAATGAACAYATTTTATATTTAAATTCTAAATCCCATCTTCTGTAGCATTAGCAGCGTTAGCGTTTGCTTTTGAGCAAGGATGATGGCGGGAACGACAAAGGCTGCGTTCCATTCCGGAATTCTTTAAATGTAAACTTTAACATTTAGCTGCAAAAGATTTATTTTTTTAATTTAGATTTACACATTTACATTTAGGATTTAATATTTATATATAGCATTAAAATGTTAAATTTAGTAAAAATTAGCTAAATGTAAGTACAGTGAACTAAATAAAATGTTTTAACTAGGATTTTATACTCAAAGTGAGCTAAATAAAGAAAATGTGTTAGTGATATTTTTAAACAATTTATTTTACACTTAGCACACCATACATGTTACCAGAAATAAAATTTGACATACAGTACATAAACTACTGGACTAACTGATGTGATATGAACTTAATAAAAGTTTTTTTTCTTTCTTTTTCGTCTTACCATTTATACCCTCGTGCTGTGCTTCCTGCCCTGCAGTTTGCTCCACAGCTTCACCAGCCTCACCGTCTTTACTCTTATTTTTTGGTTTCTTCGCGACAGGTGGAGGCATCTTTAGCCCCGCCTTCGACTCTGCTTGACTYGTCACTTTTGCCCCAGGCGAATCCTCCGAGTTCTTCGGTGCCGTTTCCTTGTTCTCCGGCTTTGGCTTCGTCACAACTCCGAYCATTTTGTTGCTCTTGGAGAAGACGAAGCTCGGGCTGGTGGTCGGGGGCGACACCGGGGAGTGCAGGCTCAGGCGAGAAGTGGGACCTTCTTTTGCTCTGGCTGCTGTCCGGAGACGGATGGCCTCTTGTAGGTTCATGGAAGAAGTCGTGGCGGTGGGAGACTTTTTCGYAGAGGGGGCTATGGGTGATGGCGATGCTGGTGGAACCACGACAGACTGGGGCGGATCTGGGTTGAGGAGAATCAGTGATTTTCTGACGGGCTTCTGCGGAGTCTCGTGGGAGGAAGAGGCTGGTGTTTGTGTGATGGGTGGTTGTTGGGTCACCGTGGCCTCAGGTTCTGGTCGCTCTGGAGCTTCAGGGCTTTTACCGACAGACTGAAGTTGATCTTTCTGCGAGAGAGACGGGGCGCCGGCGGACGTGGTTTCCTCTTCAGCAGCCTCAGGTGGTTCAGGACTATTGTTGACTGATCGAAGCATGATCACCTGCAGGAGGGACTGGGTTATGGTTGAGGTAAGGTTCTTGTGTGCAGCTGTCACAGAGGCCTGCTCTTGACCTTCACGGGGTTCGGGGCTGCTGTTGATGGACCGAAGCTTGACCTGCTGCAGGAGGGACGGGGTGATGACAGAAGCTGGCTCCCTGTGCCCTTCAGGTGCAGGATTCTTCTCTTGGCTTTCTGCGCTCAGACTGGACTGATGGTTTGTGCTGACGGTAACCTGCACCGGTAAAGGCGGAGGCACAGGAATGCTAACCGGAGGTGCTTCTGCCTCTTTTAACGAAGGCGGGTTTTTGAACTCGAATGGAGGAGAAGGTGGTGCTTCATCAGCAGCCGGATCACCGGCTGTCTGACTTATGACTGAATGTTTCAGAAGCTCTAGAGGAGGTGGAATACTCTGTGGGGTTGTAGAAATACTGTTCGATTGTTCAGGTTTTGGTTCTGGTGGGACGTTCTCATGTGGAGGATCCACGCGTTGCTTTGACAGTTGGAGGTGTGATGGCAGAGGTGGAGGGGGTGGAATACTTTGTGGTGGAGAGAGCTTGCTTTCAGGCGCTGCCTCTCCAGCAGGTCGAGAAGCTTCTTCGGGGGACAGACTTTTAATAGTTTTGGGAGGGGAAGCAAATACTTGTACATTCACGGGAGGGGAGGGATCTCTCGCTGGTGAAGAAACCCGCTGGATGACCTCTTGAACGACACAAGTGGTGGATCCCACAGGAGGTGGTGGAAGGAGAACCTTCTGAGCCGCAGCTGTTGGTGGAGGGGGAGCTGTATACGGTGGAGGAGGAGGGACACTCATGGTTGAACTGAGCTGCTGTGCTTTATCGACGGCGACCGCCACAGACACAGATGTAGAAGAAGAGACCTCGCCAGGACCGGACTGTTTCGGTAAAACTAGTCCCACCTCACCAAACAACGGGGGAGGTGGAAGAGGGAAGTCGGTCTCTTCGGGTCTAGTGATGTTCATCGGTGGAGGCGGCAGAGGCCAGGATGACTCTGATGACACGACTTGTACCTTTGAGACTGTAGTGCCGTCGGTGGTCTCTGTGGCGGTGCGCTGGTCTAGTTGAGGCGACGGTGATGGAGAAATGCGTACTAATGAAATGGTGGTTAATGTGTCTGTGATGGTCTTTACCAGACAACTTTCTTTTATTTCCTGCTTTTCCACAGCCTTCACCGATATCCCATTTAATATGTCACACGTTCGCACCTTTTCATCCTTACAGACTTCTTTCAAATCTCCGTTCTGAGCGAGTCTTTCGTTGTGTTCCTTGAGAACCTCTACGTAGGAAATGATGGACCCTTGCAACCCGTTCACAGCCTCGGGCGAGGGATTCTTGACTTTCCTTTCCAGCACTAAGCCTTTCACAGAGCTTTCTGTCGACACAGAAGGGGACGGCCTCTGTTGTCGCCTGTCCTTTGGATTCTTCTTGATAATGGCGTAGACGTTGTCCGGAGCCGGCGGCCCCAGGAGTAGCTCAAAGGAGCGTTTACTGTGAGCCCACACCTCAGGCGGAGGAGGCGGGGGAGCGTGGACTTTGGGCGGGGGAGGGATGTTGAAGAGTTCTCTCAGGGTTTGTACAGAAGGGCTGACGCTGACTGTGTCAGATTTTGGTTCTCCTGTGGGTTTAAGATTTTCAGCAATCTTTGGGTGAGCTGAAGAAGCCGGACCCACAAATAACTTGTGTAGCTTTGTCAAGAAGTTGTTGTTCTTCTGCTTTGGAGAGGACAGGTGAGGCAATTTGGTGAATTGTGGGGACATTCCGTCTTGGCTGGAGTAACCACTGGACGGAGAAACTACTTTGACTGGTTTGCTCTCCTCAAGAGGCGGCTGCTTTTTATGTGAGACTTCGTTGTAGCTGGTTTTTGGTTGCTGTAGCTCAGATTTCATGACGGCGAACGTGGCAGAGCCCGTCGATTCATCCAGAGAGCTGGTGTCTGCATGGTAGTCAGGGCTGTCGATGTTCCTGTGGGGAACTGGAGATGATTTGTTCTTTTCAGGAGCGCTCTCCTCTCCAGGAATCACTCTGACCTCCAACAGCTCTCGTGAACGTCTTTTCATCTTACTGTGAAGGGAGTAGGAGCGGTTCGGAGGAGGTGGAGGTCTTTTGGGTTTCATGACGGAGAGACTGCGCGCAAACTGCCCATCTTTCTTAATCTGGTCTTCCTTCAGGACGACCTTGGATGTGCCATCAGAGAAATTAGGATTACCCCTGTTCTCTTCAGTGGAAGTCGTCGTATTCTGAGACTTTTGTCTTGGTGTGGTACCACTGGAGATGGTTGAAGAGTCGGATACCAGAGTGTCCGAGTCAGAATTGGTCCAACAGGAGGTGTTGGACCGACTGGGACCGTTGTAGCGGGAAGCAGAAGTGAACTTGGAGGAAGCGGTTCTGGACGACGAGGCTCTAGAAGAAGCCCGGGAGGGAGCCGGGCTGGACAACAGCAGGCTGCTCTTGCTGACGGTGCGCACGCTGCTGCGGCTCCGACCGCGACTGATTTCCACCACGTCGATGGAGGGCGGCAGCACAGCGTTGGGAATGATTTTAGACAGGTAGGCGGCCTGGGGTGACATGGTCATGACAGGACTGGGTGGCTGCTGCTGGAGGCTGGTAGAAGTGGTCATCCAGGGAACAGCCAAGGACCGGGGCCTCTGCTCATCGGTCAGGAGAGGGTGCAGGCGGTGGAGCAGGGCCAGGTCATCTCTGTGACCTGCGTGGGCGGCATTGAGCTGCTCAACCCGGTCTTTACTGAGCGGGTGGATGATATTAGGGGCCTGAGAGCTGGCATTTGATGATGATGGGGAACCTGCTTCATATTGTGGTCCGTCGGTGCTGGTGTCAGTCTCTCCGTTATAAAACTGATCCTCATTCATCGTATGAGTCAATGTCCAGCCCACTCTGTCCAAACCTGAAGGAACAGAAAATACCACGGTTTTATTATAATAATCAAATAAAAATGCTTGATTCCTTGTTGATTTTACAACTTTAAAAAAAGATTAGCAGCATACCCAGCTCTTTCTGAACATGGCGAGGAATCCCTGGAACGCTCTTCTTGTGTTTTCTTCTTGCTTTCTTTTCTGACTTTTTTCCAGAGTTCAGTGGTCTGAATGTTGATCCTGAAGAACGGGAAATATAACATTAAGATTTACCGTTTCTACTTTAATAAACAAGAATACAAAGCTAACTTTATATCTAAGAAATGATACGTTACCTTGCCTGGTGAGTCCGGAGCGGGACGATCTTGTGGACACTGATGAGTGCATGGAGACAACAGAAGACGCGTCAGGGATGGTGCTGTCTGTCACAAATCCTGTACTTTCCCCATCGGTTTCATTTGTCACCATTGACTGGAAAACAAAAGAGGACAAATAAATATTCATAACAGGAAAATATAAATCATGTCAAAACCTTTAATTTGACACAAGTACAGAACTTACAACTATGCTCTCATCATCTTGAAACTTCATTCCAATATTGCTTTCTGAAAAAAAAGTGTAACTTTAAACAAAACAGTGGCAAAATCCTTTACTGCAACATGTTGACACTTAATAGTAATTCATTGCACAGACGTACAAACTGCGTATCTTTTCGTTTTATACCTTCTTGCATCATTTTCAGCCCTTCTTGAGCCTCGGTGTGGAGGTCCTCCACATATTTGGACCTGCTGCCCTCGGTGAACACGTTCTCCTGGATCTGCGGGGCCGCTGGGGTCTTATCGTCATCGTCTAGCTTGGGAACAGCTTGAAGCAGAGAAAAGGAGATGAAGATCAGCTTGAATCTGCATTAAAGGAACTTTAAAGCAATGGGAGCATATGGACAACTCGGGTGCCTGTCAKGGGGAGTTGAAGCGCAGAAACGGTAAATTTGTTTGAGGGCTAACAACACAAAGAGCGTGAATTCCTCTTATGTGGGATTAAACTCTTGTGACTTTTACAAAGGCTCTAAATAGAGGATTATAGTATCAAAAATCTACCATCAGCAACATATGCCAACGTATTTCCAATCCTAAGTATTATTTAAAGAGACAGTAAGGAGAYTATTCACTTTTTAACATTTGAGTCCACATTTGTATGATTAAAGTGACTAAAATATCAAAGAAATTATATAAAAAGTAGCAATTAAGCCAAACTCAAGCATTGGTGTCATTTATTCCGTGTCCTCACACATCCAGGTCACAGACTAGCAGTTTACAAACCTGCAACAATACTTTTATGTAAGAGTGGCAGCCACTCTGCATTTAGCTGCTCTTCTGTCTGCACAGGCTGGATTTAGACTCCACAGTCAGGTACTTTGAGACTGCAGCTAATTTTTACTTTCGTTCTTTAACAAACAGCGTTATAGATTCTGCTCTGATTAAGAAAATTCATATTAAACCACTATCTAAAATGTTGGTACAGTTTAAATTTATAGCAGACTTAAAATGGCTCGTCATTGCTTTAGATTAATAAAGATTTTCAACTTTCTGAGCATCGACACTTAGAATAAATAAACAAAATATTACAATTAGTGCTGCCTCTGCTTACCTTTCTTCTTTGAAACTGCCAGAAAGCAGTGAAAATTTAAATTATTAGTGAGGAGGATCACCATCGCTTTGGTTGTTTATTGTAAAAAAAAAAAAAAAAAAAAAAAAAAAATCCACTAAAATATGCTTAGATTGTGTTAAAGAGAAAAGAAAAAAAAAAGGAATATTCTGCTCTAAATAAGAAAACTGAAGTTCATCGGTTGAATAAACATCCCGAAAYAATCCAGATAGGATTGTTTTTCATGAAGTTGTTATTGTCTGCTTCTGTCCAAGCAGAGCAGAGCAGAAAGTGGATCTACAGCCAATAGACAAACAGACATTAATCCTCAGGAGCCTAAATCCTGACATCCCTCCCTGCGGTACCACCCCACCCCATCAGCAATCAGACGCCCAGAATCTCACTGTTGTTTCCCTTCAGCAGCCCCGATTGGTCCGTCAGGATGCAAATGATACCGATACTGAATGTGAGGAGGGGATTGAGAGCATCAGGGGTGCTTTGAGCCACAGTTTTCCCTCATTAACATGAGAATGAAGTTAATTTTTGTTCTTCTTTAAGAGTTTATTTAGGAAGGTTAAGCTTTATTGTGTTGCCACAAGGTGGAGTAAGTGATCAGTTTGAAAATAGAAAATTAAAACCACATTTTAAGAGGCCTGCAGCTTTAGATTACATGGTCACATAAAATAAAAAAATCCAGTTACTGTTTTCAGAAACACGGTTTAACATGCTATACCAAGACAAAAAACAAGACACTTTTTACTTCTTGTTGTTCTCACTGCTTAAGCTTTATTTATTTATTTWTTTATTTTTTTATTGTTTTAAGTCATATGAAAGTCAAAGACAAGTGTGAGAAAGGTGTTTCTTCACTACCGGGTGTGCTGAGCAGGCATGACTTGGAATGTTTGACATCTGAGCAAATGGAAAACATTCCCATGGTTGTGGTCCTGCTGGTGAGTCAGACAAAAGCAGTTTACAAAAAAAAAAAAAGAAAAAAAAGAAAAGAGAATGGACAAGTGGTACCAGTACTCTGTAATGAGTTTAAAAAAACAAAACCCTGAACTCTAGTTTAACAGGACTGGCTGCTGAAGTCAACCCTTCTGCCTACATTTGTAAACAAATAGCTGCCGAGCAAGTACAAAGTTTAGTCAGGCTCAGGAAAATCCCGATCTAGTTACCATGAAACCTAAACTAACGGGCGGGACCGCTCATCAACAAGGGCCCRTGTCATCACTGGTTCTGCAATCACTTTGTAATTGTGTCCATATTAATGACACCATCTGCCACTGCTGGATTACGCAAAAGCTGCTAGTGATTATTTATGAATGCTAAACTGATGTTTACATGAAGTGTAAGCTTTCAGCCTGTAAAGATGAAAAACAGTATTAAAAAAAAACAGAAGGGGATAAATACCGGTTCATGGGGGAGAATTATGGTCTTACTTTGAATGTAAACTCAAACAGCAGGAAGACAGAAAAATCTGTTTTTTTTCATGGTTTTGGTAAATTCTCTCAAAACAAAATACAAACAGATGGTTTCAGGAAACTCATCACATCAACAAATAATGTAAACAAATTACAACCCGTAACACAGACAGTGGTGAAAAGTGTTCAAGGATTAAAAAGGACAAGAAAAACAAAAAAGATTCAAATAAACTGAAAACTGTCATCTTTTTATGAAAACTAGGAGGCAAAGAATTAATAAAAAACTGTAAAGCATTCGTACTTTGCGTAATTGTTCAACTTTTCATATTTTAAACAAAGCTTTATTATGAGAATCTTTTCACAAAATATTTTGATTTCTGAGAATCTTCACCTAAAAGAAAACTATTCCAACACAACGTCATGAAAAGTCACAAATGTTTACCTAAATCTACTTCATTTTTGCAGTGATGGGAGTGGTTTTGCTAAACAACTAATGTTTCGTTTAGCGGATTAGCTTTTTAACTAACTTTGAACCAGTTAGCTTAGACTAAATTGGATTTTGCGAACTTTAGTTCAGCAAACAGCTTACTAACAAACACCAGGTTTGTGTCAGTCCCACCAGTCTTCAGCTCGAAGAAAACAACGATGTATGGCGCAATAGCGCAGTTAGCAATTAGCTGCTAGTGTTAGCTTCTGCTCATTTTTACCTGCCCAGCTTTAGCTTCAACTAATTTTCATTTATGTTTAGTGGTTTAGCATTAGCTTCCACAATATATATATATAT